GTAGATACTTGTAGGCCTAGCCTGCACGTCTTATATAGCCTACCGGCTGACACAGGACGCTAAACTAAAATAATAATAATAATAATAATAATAGGGTCAAATTGAGAATGCGCAGCCATTGCCGGCACCACAATTTGGCCTTCGAAGTCGTACCGACCAATTATATCCATAGACACGGGATCCATGGCATACGGCGGACCATCTTCTTTGAAGGTAAGAAGCATTTCTCTTCAGAACGCGATTTTGGTATTTGCAGCGGTTCGGATTACGGATGTTACTAGTTCAGAATCTGTAAAGGGATTATGATATCTTCCAAATAGACTTCTGCCAGCCGACGTCTCTACCAGAAACCTCTCCATTCTGACATAACTCTGCTTGTAGTTTGCTTGGCCATTTCTAATGCGGATAGCGGCAATACTACAGTCACCATCGGAATGAATGTCGTATTCAAAGATTTGCAGAAATCGATGATCTGATTGTACATGATAAAGTGTAACGTTGATCTCTGGGGAATCTTCCCTTCTGCCTCAAGGCCAAAACTGTTCTCTTCTAACCGGAACCGTTTATTAAACCCGCTAAAGGTACCACTATCGGGGAATTCAATTTGGTCGCCAAAATCCTTTCTGGCTATTTAGCAGGTGTCAAGAACAGCAGAAAGTTCAAAAAAATGGGCTTTTGCTATGTTCGTGGCCAGATTGAAGATGATTGAGGGTACAACTCAACCAATGAGGATACTATTCACTTTCAAAACAAGATGTGACATGTGACATAACATAAAGCATCATCATTAGTCAAATCTATGTCGGAAACACAACTACGTGCCTGCTGAACAGCCTAGAGTATTCTAACTTTTGACGTTCGCGGGACTCGGGAGTCCCAAGCATTTTGGGACTCAAAGAAAAGAGCAGGGTCGGAACTATACCGCCGATAGTACCCTCATAACGACCCACCCGTGCCCATTTTCGGCAGATCATTGACTGTGAGCATAGATCTCCACCACTGAAGCATCGATCCGAAATCCCCCTGCGATAAGTCTTTGAGTTTTGTGAATGGAGAATGGAGCATGGCCATTGGTATGATCCGACTAGAAGACATCAACGTCGGCGATATATCTCTGACGACTCCGTGCGGTAAGTTTCCAGCGACTCTGACCAATAGATATGGAGTATAGCCATTGGAATGAGGTGGTGAGAAGACATTACTAGCCTCACTAGCAGCTATCTACTTATGAAAGCACTCGATTTCCATTTTTGTACGCTCCAGCTGTGTGCTGCGAATGCATACACTTGTTGAATAGATATATTACTAACGAAGCAAGATGGTCACACAAGGCACTGTTGCTGTTGAGGAAGCAATCATAACTCCCTCAACGGTATGGCTACTTGAAGAGACCAATTCGATTCTCAATCCTGGTGACCACAGCAATAAGACCCTCGAAGTCCATGCCAAAAGGTTACTTGATATCCATGGCAAGCGGCTGGCGACTATGGATGCCGAGGGCGTCGAGTACATGCTTCTATCATTGACTGCGCCAGGATGCCAGGGCATCACCGACCCTCAAGTGGCGGAGAAAACTGCAAGAGAGGCCAACGATTGGCTGGCGGCTCAAGTATCGCAAAACCCTAAGAGATTTGGTGGTCTGGCAGCTCTTTCCATGCACGACCCAGAGGCCGCGGCAAGTGAACTAGAAAGGGCTGTTAAGCAACTGGGCTTCTTCGGAGGGCTGGTCAATGACTACCAAAGCAAGCAAGAGGATTCTGGCCGAGATTACTACGATACTACTAAATACGATCCTTTCTGGAAAAAGGTGCAAGATTTAGATGTGCCGATTTACTTTCACCCACGCTACCTCGCAAAGAAGGATATTCAACCCGGATCACTCTACGGGGATCGACCGCATCTTCAAGGGGCCGCTGTGCAGTTTCACCTGGATCTTTCGTACCACATTTATGCGATTTGTTCATCAGGTCGGCGAGCATAGGGCATGTAACGGTTTTCAGACTCTGACATCCTGTTCTAGGTGTTTTTGATCAATTTCCAGGTGCCAAAATTGTAGTGGGGCATCTTGGAGAGAAGTATGAGTATGCGCCATAATCTAAAATTGTAGCTAACACACTTGCATAGCATCCCCCTCAATCTATGGCGAGCGAGCCACTGGTATAATAAACCTAACAAACGGGCTACACGGCCTTCAAAGAACGACTACAATTTCTACTTCCAGAGAAATGTATACATCACAACGTCAGGAAACTTCTTCACTCCTGGCTTGAAGCTCTGCATTGAGACAATTGGCCTCGATAGATGCTTATACGCGATAGGTAATATTCGCCCAGGACTAGAGAGAATATTTTCCAAGTTGACTTCTCTGAACAGACACACCATATGAAGACATTGAAGAAGCACAGTCGTGGTGGAAAAATGTAGAACTGGACAACGAGGCGAAGGTCAAAGTTGGAAGGTTGAACGCTATAAAGCTATTTAAATTGCCCTTAAAGCACTGAGTTAGCATATACAAGAGAGACCTAGGGAGAATCTCAGCGGAACAAAGTTCCAATGTAAATTCCAAATATTCAAGAACATGGCGGGGTTAATTTCTGGACCAAGATGCCAGAGTCCGTTGCCATCGCTTATATCAGCTCATGGAAAACCAATCCGAACATTAGTCATATACCCTTAATGAGGAAGGATATGCAGAGATTTGTTTGTTTTTGAATAAACTAATGTTTTTTCTGAGCAGATCTAGTAAGCAAAGCTGTGGTTGAAATACGGAGCTGATAGAGAAGTTCCTTCTAGTAACTACCTTAAATCAAGGTTTCGGACTACAATTTCAATCATTCATGCTTAGTATATATACGCTCTTTGCGTCCTAGCGGTCTCGTGCGAAATAGGTTTGCCGTTCTATTGTGCCGGATGACATTCCCCACACTGACGAATACATGCCGAACCTGTGGGGGTGGCGTCACTTCCGCCCCTCCCAAATCACATGGGCAGTCCAAAAGCTAGAGTACCGTCGCAAAGAAGCTTCTTGTTCACTCGGTAATCTTCGTTCCGCGCTTGTCCGGACCAGGAGCGAAGTCGTGCGATTTCATCAACTTACTAACCGTATTGAAAATTGAGACGAATATGAAATCGCGAGATTGCATGTCGAACAAGAGCTACAAAGTCAAAAAAGGGTCACGCGTAAGTAGAGCAGCGATCAGCTGCGATCGCTGCAAGACGCACAAAACGAAGGTAATTGTTCAAATGAAGGCCTATTTAGAACACGTTACTAACTAAAATTTCAGTGCAATAAACCCAGTATGTGAATTTTGGTTCATTCAGGCCCGGGAGAGAGCTGACTTTTAGCCGAGATCCCGATGGCCCTTGTGATTACTGCCGTAGCATCGAGGAGGTTTGTTCGGTTGACATGAACAAACGGAACCAGAAGCCATTCTACTATGTTTTAGAAGAGAAATATCGTCTTCCGTGCGAATTGTGTAGCTACTGCTTCCCCGATGAGGAGCTAACTATATCAAACCTACGACGACTTGTATCAGAGCAGAAAAAGGCGGAATGAATCCATCAGACAGACATCTCGATCCCAGTTATCACCATCGTTGAGCCCGTACAAAATAGTACAAGCAGCCTAATCGACCAAAACGTCATACTGCCACAGAAACACATAGAGAACCATACAGATCATGAATCTATCCTTCTACCTGAAATTATCAATCTTCACCACGATTTGGGTTGCCTGATGATCGACGCAGATGGTGAATATCGTAAGTTCCGCTGTGATAGCCTTTTCGACTGTAGAATCTCATCAAATCATCATGCTACGTTGGGGCTGAATCCGGTATCAGTTTCAATAGTGCCGTGAGGTCATGGGTATTGGGAATGGGGCTAGAAACAAAAAAGAAGAAAAACGGTAGGATACCTCCGATGCTGAGAGTCCTACTATCCTCCGTCAAATCTCCATTTACAGGCGCAGCTTCATCTGACGAAAGTCTATCCCAACTTCTATCCCGAGATCCTCTGTCCACATGTGCAGTCCGCTTTTTTGAACATGTCCACAGTTTGTATTGGATATATTCTTCCGAATCATTCTATAATAAAATAGAAGCGACCTATGCTGGCGAATTTGGACAGTTAAGTGACTCATGGCTCTACTCTCTGCACAGCATAGTGGCACTATGCGTGATATGTGATCCCTCCCACAATGGGATGCGCAGCAGTCAACAGGCACATGAATCATTAGAGATTGCAAAAAAACTTGTACCGCAGGTTTGCGACAAAGCTGCCTTGGACAGTTTGCGCGCATTGATAGTGTTGGTGAGTCCCATGGCTTGACAGTTCTGTGCCAGACTCGGAATGCCCAACTGACTAAATTTTTATACCAGTCTTTGGCCTTTCAGTCAAATGCATTTACGAATTCTGCTTATCTTCACGTTGGTCTTGCTGTCCTCATTGCTTTCTCTCTTGGTCTGCATGTTAATAAGCATTCGACACAAAGCGACGTAGTTTCTCAAGCACATGCGCAACGGCTCTAGTGGACTTTGTATCTTGCAGATCACGATGTTTCTCTTGCGTTGGGTAAGCCTTGCACGATGTCTTCTTCAATCAATCTTGGTTGGGCTCCACCACTGCCATCAGAAACCGTAAGTAATATGTTCGAAACAGGTCCAGTTACAAATGCACCTTCTAAGATATGTTAGGTTGTGGGCCCTGGTCCAAATACACCCATTGGATGTCTTGAGCAATGAATCCGTTTAATCCAGCTCACGCAAAGAATCCGACATGTTCTCTATGATAGTACTGTTCATGGGGGTCAGGAGTTGTCGGATGTTAATTTTAACGACAATATGGCAGCCTTGAGAGAATGGTTGGCGCAAGTGCCACTACATCTTCAACCTTCAACATTAGTACCACTCCCCCACCGCAGACCAATTTTTCTACTTCATCTTTGCTATTGGAGCGCAATTATGCTTATTACTAAGCCATTCCTCCTTCGAAACCTCTTAGAAGGTACTGAAAATCTCGAACCCGTTAAATAAGCTCTATTTGCTAAGTTTGCACGAGTCTGTTTGTCTGCCGTTGAATCCACGATCGAAATACTCGAAAACATGGTCTTTCACAAAGTAATCTCCTGTTTGGTGATAGATGACTTCTTCTTCACCCTGCAATGTCTCCAAGTCGTTCTAGCCGGTTGTGGACTGTTTCATGCAGATGGTTACCAATTCCGCGTAAAGCAGTGTCTTAAAATCCTACTGGCAATTAGTGTATCTGGCTACCCAAAGCAGCTGCTTCCCGAACCACTGTATCAGTTACAGCAGGGTGGACTTGCTGAAGACGTTGGAGATGGTAATTCTATGTTACCCCAACATTTGCAAGCTCACCAGGAAGTTGAAGAAGCCCTGAGAGAGTATGTACCCGGATTTCATTCGGAAAAAGCCTAGTTTATAACTGCTGACACTTCAATAGTGATTTAATAGACTATGCTGCTGACCAAGTTACAACCGAGCAGCTAAACGAACTGGACATGTCTGATAATGCTATCGATATTGGATTCTGGGGCGATCTTCTGGAGATCTCAGCTAGCGTTCCCTTTGAAAAGTGTTGAGTCAGGGTTCCGATTGGCATTGCCTCAATCAAAGCATTCATTTACCAGTACTACTTAGCATTCCGTTTATAGGCCCTGCAATGAAATCCTTTAATCCTAACAAACCAAAAATTCTCTGTGATACACTTCGGCTCGCCCGAGGTGGTGACTGAAAGAAAATAGAAATGGCGAATTATTTGTGGGATAACTCTTGAAAGCTCCATGAGACAGATGTTTTTACCTAGACAAGTGCGCGATCCTTGTTCAAAATGGTCAACTCAAAATGTTAGATCCAAGTGGTAGTTGCTTGACTTATATTGCATACTAACCGTCCTAAAGTAAGACTCGCGTTCTCCGACTCCCTCAAGTTGTTCTAGCCACCTTTCAGGTCGGAATTCGTGCGCATCTTGACCAAAAACCTTGGTGTTCGCATAGGCTACCTAGGGGTTAATCCCAACTACAGTCTTCATTGTTTCAGTAATCAACTTCCACGACAATGAGTTTTATGCATACATACACCTGGAGGAAAGTATTGCCCTGCCAAAACAACACTTGTGATGGGACAACTCAATAGAGACTTAGTCATGTCGCAGGATGCATTTGCAGCCCCTCTTTCAAGACTGCTTGCAAATAAGGTAGTTTATCTGCCTCAGGGAATTTGATAAGATCAGATATGTCACCCCGTTCATTGCTTTCTTCAATTTCAACGCGCAGTTTCTAGAAAACTCTTGGGAATTTGAGCAGGTTGAAGATGATTGAAGTCAAGCTAATCGAGGCAGTGTCAGAGCCCGCTTCAATTTTCATGTTGCAAACTGAAATAATACCCTCATTGGTCATCTTCGTTGGATTCTGAGCTTGTATGCGGAAAGGTTTCGTGATAAAGTCCTCTGAGGTGTTGGTACCGTTACTGTTCTGGCTGCCAGCCTGAGCTTTCTTGTATTTCTCTTCGAGCTGAGTTTTGGCAAATCGTCCAGCATGTAACAAGCCAGAAAGGTTTTTCGACTGCATTTTACAGAGGAACAAGGTTCTGTGCCACTCTGGAAATTCCCAACGTTTGCACAATAGACCAAGTACTCGCTGAGAGACGACATGATCCCTTGAATAACCTCACCAGAGTCCAGGAAGCCAAAGCGCCGACCAAACTATCATAAGTGAGTTATTGGTTCGTAGATATCAAAGTTTTGGATTCCTTACAGTCATCTTGCCTAATACATCAAAGGCATAACATTGCAACCAGTGAGAAATGTCAATCGACGTACCGGAACTAGCAAACTCATTCAGCCTCTTCTCCAATATAGAGGTGCATTCATCAACAAATTGCTCTAGCTGTACCAAATTGGTCATTGGATAAATAGCCGTGACTTTGCGTCTTGATCATGTAAATGTGGACCTGGCTCAGCGAAGAGATTTGGAAGCAGACTTATGGATTGCTGCTGGCATGATACTATGGAGACTAGTAAAAAAAATGTAAATAGGTCCTTGAGCAACGTTAGTAAGACAAACCTTGATAAACCCGTGGCCGGTACAACATATTGCCTTTGCCGCGACTAGATCATCAATGCTATACTCATTTGGTGCTATGCGTACCACTGATCCTGGAGGTCTTCATCAGCTCTTGCTATCAGCATTGAGTAAAATTACTGACCATATTTCCAATGGAGCTTAATGCTTGTCTTTGGATAAGTCCAAAGTGTGCTTCCATGAGAAGCCAAAGTCTGGTGTACTTTGCAAGAAATGGACCAGTAATTTGTCCCAGAGGAGAAAGCAGTTTGACAGCGATGCGAAAGCACCATACCCCACTCAAGCAAAAAAGAAAAAGAAAAAGAAAGAGTGACAGTGATTTCATAGTAATAACACTTGGCTGAGTAGGGAGCAATTTGATTATCGCAGAAGTCTCCGTTTCAACTTCATTCAAACATTCCACGCCTTGCGATCCTTTTTTCCTCAAGTTCCATTTCTCCGCTGGTGAAGTATAATTAACCAACCGGAAACATGCGGCGAAACGCCAATGTACCACTTACCTTAGTTTTTAACATTCGGTACAAACCTACCGACAAGCGAATGATCATCTTGGTAACCTTCGCATCATTTTGCCTCTAATCTTCTGACGTGGCTGGCTCGTTTAGAGTTCGGAGTGATGACTCCGACGTCGGGAATATGAGTTCTCCCTCCCCTCTACTCCTTATTCTTGTTTTTTTGTCTCCGTGTCATTTGCTATTCCAGATATCAGCTGCATACTTCCAAGGCGCTACTAAAACCTTGGTTGGTTAGCGACTCGACTAACGTATGATGACAACACTACGAAGCGCAGTGTCCGAAGATAAAGCATCCAAGGGTGCCGTTTATGTTCAGCCAATCGATTAAAGGCTGTCTTTGAAATACATGAAAAGACTCCCGTGTGTGGTGTCACTTGTCAAGTCGTCGAAGTAAAAATTGCCCAGCTAACAGTAATGTCCTGGTAGTCTACTGTGCTTAAACCACCATCAATGGTAATTTTCAGCACGTAGTGACTGTATTTTTTAGCTGGAGCCATAATCTTGGAGGCAATCTGAATGATGGACGTAATTGTCATTGATGATTATTGCTGACGGGGCAATGCTCACTTCCTCTTCCACTACGCATCTTCTATTAAAAGGGTGAGCATTGTGAAAGGGTGCTACATACTCATTAGGCCACACCTGTTACCTTATCAAAACTTATTTGGTCTAAAATTGTTCGCTAGATGAATGCTTCTGAAAGGAGTGATAAACTTGTCAGCATTTTTCCAGCTGTCCTTGAAGCTACCGTACCACAATGGGAAGTTGCAGAGATAAAAGATCGTTCATACAACCCCCTCTTGATCAATGGGGTTTCGTATATATCATTCTCCCGCCACTGAAAATAACAACTAGAGCATTCAGAGGACGTGTTTTCTTGTGTACCTGCACTCATTGAAATTCGGCTACGATATTTAACAACTCTAGTTCAAGCTATAATCTACAACATCTTGGGCTGTCAAATGGTCTACTAGCCCTCCATGAATAGGCCATTCTGTCAGTGGGCGAGATGATTAAACCACTGATTGAAAAAGAGTGTTAAATAACCGACTCTTTGCCTTGAATTTCTCTTTAGGAGTTTTGGATTTGCGTCAACAGATGATGCTATTTATCGAGGAGGTGCTTAATAGTTCGTAAAAGAACCCAATAACTCATTTACCGTATTCATTAGCTACATTGAGAGTGGTAGCCATTCTCCAGTCGACGAGTGGATAGCCGGTACGGTGACGGACGAATGGTTCGGCTGATGAGAACTCTATCGGACCCATGACTCTGACCACCACATCGGCTGTTCACTAGCTTGTTCAAGAACACGGTGCAGCATCTTAAAGCTCGTTGCTTTGCATCAAGGTTAGTGCTACCGCAAGGCCTGGATTGCGGGGTAATCAGGGGTAATCCGGGATTTGTGTAGGAGCGGTGCGAAGTGGAATTATCAGTAGTACAATACATTTCGCAAACGAGATTTTATATCGCTGAGCTTTCCTGCCTGTTTCCGATGGAAAGATAACTGCTCAGTAAGCTGGGCATTTGTTTCGTTTCGATTTTGAAGTGTCATCGTTCATCCTCTTGACACTTTTCGATGAATATGAATCTACAGCAGCATGGGATCAGAGGCCATCTTAAATCTGTTTGGAACGAGAAGCGTGTTATTTCAATTTGCTTCTTCATTGCGCTGGCTCAGTTTCAATATGGATACGATTCAGCTACTATCGCCGGATTTCAGTCCATGCCAGGGTTTCTCAATGTCTTTGGTTATACCGATGTAAGTGATATCTGCTGTTGGAAATCCCCGAATATTTTTACATACTTGAATATACATATCGAAAGATTAATGGGCGCTAATGAAGTGTTTCATTATCAGCCAAAGAACCCTATAGGCTATAACATCAGCACTCAAAGGCAAAAATTGCTTCAAAGTCTCATCAGTGTAGGTGCATTAGTGGCCTGCATCTTCATTTTCAATTTCGGACGCTTTATCAGCCCGCGAGCCGGTCTCTGGACTGCGTCGCTGGTTGGCCTGGTTTCCATCGCTGCTCAGATCGGAAGCACTAGCATTGCTGCACTGTACTTTGGCCGTATAATGCTCGGGATTTCCAACGGCTTCTACAGCACCTACTCAGCTATTTATATTGGAGAATCCACGCCGGCTTATCTCCGCGGTGCGGCCATCGGCATGGTGATCTTGCAGATCAACCTTGGCTCGCTCATCGGCATTGTCATAGATAACTCTACTCAGTCGATGCGCAGCCGCCTAGCATACCAGATTCCACTTGCGGTCATGTTCGTCATTCCAGTGGTCATTTCCGTGGGTTTAATATTACTTCCCGAGTCACCTCGGTATTATATATCGAGAGACCAAGACAATAAAGCCAAAGCGGCTATCCGAAAGCTGCGAGGAATAACCGATGAAGCCAATGTTCAAGAAGACATAACGGTAATGAAGAGCGCCTGGCTTGAAGATATGGAAATGCGTGCCACTACCCACCTGCTCGACGCCTTCCGGGGTAGAGACTTACGAAGAACTCTTCTCACTATTGCAACAGCTGTGGCCCAAGCAGCCACTGGCATTTTTTTTATATCAGCCTTCTCCGTTTTCTTCTTCGTCCAAGCACGGATCGGTGACCCTTTCAAGTGGGTGACGATATCTATTGCTATTGGTGTGACTGGAAACATGTTGTCATTCCCAGCCGTACGGTTTCTCGACCGCCGACACCTCTTGATAGTTGCCTCGCTGCTAAACTCCGCAGCAATGATAGGGATGGCAGTTGTATACACTGTCTCTTCAGCAAAGTCACCCACTGCAGGAAAAGTTCTCGTAGGACTGAGTATCATTTTCACTTGGGTCTACGGCCTAGGCCAGGGCCCAGTTCTTTGGGCACTCCAGACAGAGTTCCCGTCTCAAAGGCTGCGAACGCAGACTGTGGGCTTTGCACAGGGTTCTGGATTTCTTTTCTCGTGGCTGAGCGCTTACTGTACGCCTTACTTTATCAATCCTGAGGCTCTCAATTGGGGTCCCAAATATTGTTACATATGGGCCGGTAGCAATTTCATCCTAGCAATTTTCACCTTTTTCTTCATTCCGGAAACACGGGGAAGAAGTTTGGAGCAGCTTGATGAGATGTTTAACAAGAGGTTACCTGCTTGGAAGTTCCGCGGTTATATCACGGACCTTCAGCAAGCTGATCAAGATGATTTTGCGATGGAGAAGTATACAAAGGATGAAACTAGTGCTGTCAAAATTGAGCATAAATAATCACAAAAATGGCATTAGTCTTAGGTATTGGTCCTTGTTACGTTGCAAATACCGCAGCGTTCTTGATGCTGGACTGGGATTAGATGCTGATGTCGATTTAATTCTGAAGCGCCGCAAATACATCCTGTCGCAAGTTAGTGCTCTAGCTCGAGTATGATTTTGGAGGATTCAAGCGATTCAGATACAATGGAGAGGAATTTCTACGCTGGTGTCGACCAGATAAGCGGCGAATCGCGCGTCGCTCCTCGGCCCATCTTATCTATGAAGACAACATTCTAGATATATCAGGTTTAGACAATGTCCAATGGACAGTACTGTCTATAGCCTGGACGTAGTGACTCTATAAACTACCCTTTTTGTCTGAGTAGCTGCTTAAGATATGGGTAATGTAACGATAACATTAAGTCCAAATATTTGTTGTAAAACTAAATGTTAAGAATACATAATAGTAGGAAGAAATGGCTTGTATAAAGGCAAGTTGTTAGCAGTTGTTAGATCAAATAATCAACGCAGGGAATTTGTTTAAATCAATATAACAGAAAATAAGCGTAATCAAAATGAATACGCCATAGCTATCGATGTACACCCGCCTGGAAGGAGCTTCTTGTATGCAGAGTCGATATGTTGTCGTTGATAACTAGGTCGCCCTCCTCCCACGCATGCCAACAGCAAACCCTACGATCGTGCAGCAATGATTCCAGTACATCGCATACGCTATGATCGCCATTCTCGATAGTTACTTCTGCTGGGTCAAATCGCGTCTTCTCCTGGGGCCACCGCTCGTGGTACTTTGGACAGGGTCGACCCGTTGAAGGATGGCTTACAATGAGCGCCATGTTGTCAATGATCGACTGATCGAAAGAGGCTGTTTTCACTGATTATGTCAGAGATTGAAGATATCCAAGCGATTTATCTGCTGGCAAAAGATCTAAAAGAAGCTTTGAGCTCGCCCACAGCGTGTATCCAGTATTCTTTGGACTTGGTGTTACGGCAGCGAAATACTGAAAGCGTGGAGGATTCGGAACTAGATACTTGCTGCCGTCATCTCGGGTGTGTTTCTGGGTTTTGAACATGCCATCGAAATGGAATGGCATCCATTCCTGGCTCAGGATATTGTTCAGACCTTGGCCTTCTGCACCGCGATCCTTCACTGCTCGAACAAATACTTCTCCGCGTTTCAGCATGCTCTTTGCAATGACTTCGATTCCTCTCTTGAAAGCGCTTTTCGTTCGCCCTAATCCGATGGGATAGGTATCCGCGAGATCCAACGAAAGGAACTTCAGGTATCCGCAGTAGGTCAGACGCTTAGTCTCATCATCTTTGACGAAGGACTCATTAGTCCAAGCATCCCAGTTGAAGGCACCATAGCGTTGCATCAGTCCGAGACATATCGAAGGTGCAGTAGCGGCGTATATCATGTCGTCAATATCATCGCGAAAAGATGCGATACCAAGTAGATATCTTAATCCCGCAAACTCAACATATATGTAGCCCTTTATCTTAGTGAGCCGACGAAGCGCTTAACCATAGGTCCAGACAACATAATCAGGGACTCCAAGGAGGTCTAAGCGATCAGCAATATATTAACAAGCCGCCAGATATGACATACCATTGTAAAAGAGTCCGTCTAATACAATTGTCAGTATAGCGCCAGGGGGATAAATGTCTTTCACGGTGCTAGGTAACGTGCTTGGGAGCTGAGGAGATAAACGAACTGGCACTTGAAGGAGAAATAAGAGCAGACTTCGATCAAGTAGGGTCAGCAATAGAGGAAACAATAGCATCAAAAGAAAGAGAAGGTTTACGGCAGATTTGAGAACCCGAAGCCTAAACGATCATATAGGCCCTAAGACGATTCCATTTGTTCGATGTCTATTTAGCTCCAAAGCTAGTTAATCAAACTCAAGAGCCTCTAAATTAACCTCCGCTTTTCTCTTCCTATACCTCACAATACTCTTCGGATTTACTGTAAACTGATTTCCAAAGGAAGTTGGCTCAATAGTTGCTCCAGGAGGTAGTTCCCAATCATATTCGAGAAGAAGAAAAATAAGTGCAATCTTAGTCTCATTGGCAGCGAAGAAGCGACCAGGGCAAGAATGTATTTATTATTCCATTATAGTCCTGTATCAGCCGTTGGCTATGTAGGACTTTGGCCGACGGCCGTTCTATCTAACTAG